AGCCAATACAGGAAGTACCCATATGTAGTGTTGCAGTTTATGTTGATAGTTTATTGCACACTTGTACACTATCCAAATACTAGTCTGCCTCTCAGCCCAGTCTAGTGATTGAGAAATGTTAAATATATGAACTTTTCTCTTCCTTTGCTATCGTTATTTTTTATGATGAAACATACATACTTAGAAAGCTGGATGCAGTTTAGATGATCGCAATTTTGTTTTATTTACTTTTAAAAAGATTTATTTATTTTTATTGCAAAGTCAGATATACAGAGAGGAGAAGAGAGAGAGGAAGGTCTTCTGTCCGATGATTCACTCCCCAAGTGACCGCAATGGCCAGATCTGCGCTGATCCAAAGCCAGGAACCAGGAACTTCCTCCAGGTCTCCTATGTGGGTGCAGGGTCCCAAGGCTTTGGGCCATCCTCAACTGCTTTCCCAGGCCACAAGTAGGGAGCTGGATAGGAAGTAGGGCTCCAGGATTAGAACTGGTGCCCATCTGGGATCCTGGCATGTTTAAGGCAAAGACTTTATGGGCCTGGTGGTGTGGCTTGGTGGCTGAAGTCCTTGCCTTGAACGCACCGGGACCTCATATGGGCGCTGGTTCTAATCCCAGCAGCTCCACTTCCCATCCAGCTCCCTGCTTGTGGCCTAGGAAAGCAGTCGAGGACGGCCCAGGGCTTTGGGACCCTGCACCCGTGTGGGAGACCCGGAAGAAGTTCCTGGTTCCTGGCTTCAGATCAGCATAGCATCGGCCATTGCGCTCACTTGGGGAGTGAATCAGTGGATGGAAGATCTTCCTCTTTGTCTCTCCTCCTCTCTGTATATCTGCCTTTCCAATAAATAAATCTTAAAAAAAAAAAGGCAAGGACTTTAGCCGCTAGGCTACCGTACCAGGCCCCAGTGATCCCAATTTTGTTGGCAACATCCAGAGCATCATAATCAGGAGCTAACCGCACATAAGCCTTCTTTTCTCCATCGGGCCTGATCAGGGTATTGACTTTGGCCACATCAGTGTCCTAGAACTTTTCACAGCTTGTTTGATCTGGTGCTTCTTATCCTTGACATCCACAATGAACATGAGTGTGTTGTTGTCTTCTATTTTCTTCATAGCAGATTCTGTGGTCAGAGGGAACTTGATGATGGTGTAGTCGTCATGCTTATTCCTCCTGGGGGCGCTCTTCTGGGTGTATTTGGGCTGTGGGTGCAGGCGCTGCTGCGTCTTGGACCACCGGAACGTGGGTGACGTGCGGATCTTCTTGTGGCCGTGGACACCTTTCAGCACCGCCTGCTTGGCCTTCAGAGGCTTCGCTTTGGCTTCGGCTTTGGGAGGTGCAGGAGCTTCCTTTTTCGCTTTCCACACCGTCCTGGTGATAAGGGTTTCCTGCTATCATTACCTTTAATAATTGGGGAAATTCACTGTGGGCACAGGGAGCCCATCAACCCACAAGGCAGTATGATGAAGAGATGAACTTGATGCCAGGGAGATCCACATTGGAATTCAAGTTCTGCCATTTGCTGACTGAGAGGCCTTGGGTAAGTCACTTTCCCTTTCTGGATTGCTTTTCTGCTCTGTAAAGTGCAAAAAGGATGCATTTCTGCACACACACAAGTCGGCTGCTACATAGGAGCTGCTCACTAATTAGCACCTTTATGATAGATTCAACACATAGAAGAAATATCTATAAAGAAAAACACGATTCCTCCCTTCAAGCTGTCCAGGGACATGAGGTGTGCACAAAGCATACTCAATAAGGAAGAATGTACCTGCTAAATAGAAAATAATAGCAGCTACCATTCACTGAGTGCGTCTAAGCCAGGTGCTGTGCTAAGCATTTTCTAACTACTTCATTTATTTTGGCCACTCCCCTCCTGTACTATTATTATCTCCACTGTACAAAAAGGAAGCTGAGGCTCAGAGAGGGGAAGTGAGCTGCCCAAGCTTGCACAGCTCTGAGCACTGAGCCTCACTGTCAGCATAGAAATCCAGTCCTAGGAGCCCTAAGCTTCATTCAGGTTTTTACCAGTCTTTATTCATTTCCTGCCTGCTTTAATTTTTCTTTTCTTTTAAATTTAACCCTACCTCAAAATATCAGCTGAGGGCCCGCATGACAGCCTAGCGGCTAAAAGTCCTCAGCTTGACCACACCAAAATCCCACATGGGCACTGATTCTAATCCCAGCGGCCCCATTTCCCATCCAGCTCCCTGCTTGTGGCCTGGGAAAGCAGTCGAGGACGGCCCAAAGCCTTGGGACCCTGCACCCGCATGGGAGACCTGGAAGAAGCTCCAGGCTTCGGATCAGTTCAGCTCTGGCTGTTGCAGCCACTTGGGGAGTGAATCATTGGATGGAAGATCTTCCTCTCTGTCTTTCCTCCTCTCTGTATACCTGACTTCCCAATAAAAATAAATAAATAAATAAATCTTTTTAAAAATATCAGCTGACATTTGGGTTAATATTACAGCACTGTAAAGGGACTTTGTGGACTTGACCTAGTGTCTGCCCAGGCAAAGACAGATGCAGTTCTAACTTCCTTGGATCACAACTCTGGGAAAACTCCATTTGGGTCCTCCCACATGGGTGGGTGGCAGCAACACCAACATCTGAGCCACCATCTACTTCCTCCAGATGCATTAGCAGGACAGTGAAGCTGAGTGGCAAGGATGAGAACCCATGTTTTCATATGTGGGAAGGCATCATGTGACTCATCAGGTGGGTCAGGAGGCATGTCCTAAGCTGTGGGCACTTGTGACAACCATTCGTGTTCCATGTAACGACCACTTTACGGCCAGCTTCTCCTACTCCACACTCTTTCAGTGTGATCCTGTCCCATTTTGTTTTTAAGATTTATTTATTTTTATTGGAAAGTCACAAATACAGAGGAGAGACAGAGAGGAAGATCTTCCATCCGATGAATCACTCCCCAAGTGACCACAATGACTGGAGCTGAGCCGATCTAAAGCCAGGAGCCAGGAGCTTCTTCCAGGTCTACCACATGGGTGCAGGGAATCAACTCTACTGCTTTCCCAGGACACAAGCAGGGAGCTGGAAGGGAAGCAGGACTGCTGGGATTAGAACTGGCTCCCATATGAGATCTTGACACATGCAAGGCAAGAACGTCAGGCACTAGGCTATTGCACCAGGCCCATCCCCTCCCAGTTTTAAAATGATTTTTAGAAAACCAGTAGCATGTTATTTAACTTCATGGCATTGTAAATTTCTACTTTTCTTCCTGTTGTTCATTTTGTTTTGTGGCTTTTTCATTTAAGGGGATGTATAGTAACTGTAATGGAGACTATCATATCCAGATGTGAGGATACAGTGCAGTGTGCATCTCTACTTCCAGATCAAAGATGAACTCCCAATGAAACTGCTAACTATATCTTGACAACAAGATGCTGGGCTCTCTGCCATTGTCCATGCCCACAATGATGGACTTATGACTGTTTATAAAGAACTATACTAGTTTAATGGTATATTGGGGAAGGGATTTGGGGAGGAGGTAAGGGAAATCCCAAGGCCTATGGAATTGTATCATAAAATGATAATAATAATAATAATAATAATAATAGTGGAACAGAGAAAAACACTTGTTTGAGAAGCAAGAAACAGAGAGACAGAGCCTCGGCCTTTCAATCCATTGGTTCACTCACCAGATGCTGCAACCGTGGCCTGGCCAAGGGTGAGGCAAAGAACTGCTGCTCATTCTTTCTCAACCCCCACTCCCCTGTTTGTCAATTTTATTTAAAAGGTGAGGAAACCACAGACACACAGAGTTAAACGGTGGAGGAGTGAGGACCCTCCTTTCATCTTGGGTCCCGCGGGAGAGCGCAAGCAACCCCGCCCTAATCACTCATTCTTACATCTTTAAATAACATCTAGGAGGCAAGGCCCAGACCCCGCCCCACACCCGGCCTTTGGGGTGCTCCATGGCACCTCAGCGTGCCTACATATTGGCCCGCCTCCACTCTGCTTTCCAACTCAGGAGTCCTGTCAGAACCACCTAAGGTAGAAACCCCCCCCCCATCCTGTCCTCGGCTCAGGCCTCTCATTCAATTATCCCATTTCTTTTACATTAATAACATTTCTCTCTCACAGCCTTACAGGCCCGTAGAAGCCGAGGCTGTGCAAAGCTCCGAGCCCGGCTTGCTTCCCCAGGCCATCCTTTCCCAAGCCAGTTTCTCTGTTCAGTGCCTGCCCCTCCTCGGAGATGCTGTGTTTCATTATATACCCCAGAATTGAGGTTCATAAGTCAGAAGGACTTGTATGCAACTGAAAAGTAAGATCCTGTAATCGCTACTTGGGGGAGAATGAGGAAGGACTTTTCTGGAAAATTCGTTCGATGTTAAATGTTATTTGCTGTGCTTTATCCAACACTGAATTCACTGTTTAATCTGGAAATACTTACGCTGAGTAAGAGTCAAAGCTGTTCTATTCAGTTCCTTGTCTTTCCCACCAAGTTCACTCAGGCTTTAAAAAAAAACATACAGAAAATAAGATCTAACACATTTGGGAAATCTATCACTATACTAGATTGTACATTGTTATGTTATTGTTTTTTAAATTACCCTAGAAAACTTTAAATACAATTAGAACTATGGAAAGAAATTTTAAAATGCTATGAATATATGGTTGTCAAAATAAAACATTTTTCTGAATATAGAAAAAAACAGGACAAGGCTATTTTCAATTTTCTCACGCACCTCCGTACTGTGTCCTCCAGCAGTTACCTATTTCACATTCCCGCCCCCACCCAGAATCCATAACCACGAGATTTCCTACACAAAACATCTCCAAGCCTTTCAAATTGAAGACAAGCTTTTCCTACAGGCATCCCATGACGTCACCGCAGCGTAACTCCCTGAGGAACGCCCCCAAACGAGGCTGCCCGCAGCCGGAACCCAGCCCTGGGCACTGCGCAGGCGCGTCTGGCTAAGTTTGGCCCTATCGGCACCCTTACCTGACAGGGAGGCGGTGTCGAGGTTTTGGCTTCCTGGGCCTTCCTGCCGGAACGAGGCAGAGGAGCGATCCTTGCGGCCGGGCTCGTCCGGGGCTGGGTTGCTGGTACCTGAGGGGCGGGGACTGGTTATCGCTGAGAGGCCGGACGAGTCGGGGTGAGTGTGATTCCCGGCGTGGCCCGCCCATTTGTCGTGTAAGTGCGCGTGTGTCTGCACGCGGGCCCTGGGGATCCGTTGCATCCTGCTGGGAGAACTGCACGCCTTAGACGAAAATCGGTTTTTTGCCCTGTTGTAGGCCCTGCCCCTGGCTGTGCGTGTCTCTGGGCCCCTTCAGTTCGCCGCGGCCTCCTCTCTTGCAGGTGCACAAGTCAGGTTCGGTTCTGACTGCAGTCCCTTCTGTCGTTCTCAGCACAGTCTCGGAGGTTCCGTAGTGCTGGATTCGCTTTCATTTTCATTCATTCTTTTTGGAGAGCCAGGGAACTCCCACACACTGACCGGCTCACGCCCCCACGCCTGAGAAGGGGCTCAGTACCCGTCTCCCACGGAGGTGGCAGGGGCCTAACTACTCCTTGCACCTTCGCCTGCGGCTTCCCAGGGTGGGCACAAGGAAGAGGCCGGAGTCGGGAACAGAACAGGGACCCCCCAGTCCAAGCACCCCAGAAAGGAGTTGTGGGAATCCCAGCAGGGACCTTTAACCCACACCTGCTTTGCTTTAAGGGAGATGATGTGGAAGGCCGCACAGGTAGCTTCTAAAGTTTCCCAGCTTGAATCTGGATGGTTCCATTGTACAACCTCTACAATCCTATCTTTTTCTGTTTCTGCTGTCCATTCCTGAGACTAGCTACCTCAGTAGATACTTGAACTATTTTTGAGTGAAAGACTTAATTTCAGGGCCAGTACCAACATGGACGTGATGTCCGTCCACACCTATGATGTCTAAGTGAATACTACCCTTTTTGCAGGTGTGTTCCGTGACTGATCTGCCTCGGCAACTCTGAGTCCAGTTTTGCTGTCTTCAGCTTAATCAGGCACCATGGAGGCACCGCCGGTCACCATGATGCCCGTCACGGGGGGCGCCATCAACATGATGGAGTACCTGCTGCAGGGTAAGTGAGTCGGGCAGTTTCAACAGCTTGTTCTCATGCTCTTGTTTGGTTTTTCTGGAAACAACTGTTACGTAGTCAACAGACAACACCTGGAACTGGTGTAAACCACTTTTCAAAATAAATAAATGTTTGAATGGCAGAGTTGGAGAAACAGAGATCTTCATCCACTGGTTTATCCTGGCTGGAACTAGATTAGGCCGAAGCCAGCAGCCAGGAGTTTTATCTTGATCTCCATGTGGGTGTAGGGACCCAAAGACTTGACTGGAAATAGAAAACAATTGTTGAAGTGAATGACAAGGTAATAGTATTACTAAATTCTTTATAGCTGCCTGTGTTCGGCTCTGGGCTCAAGGCCTGCTGAAAATAAACATGAGCAGAGAAGGCCCAGGTGCTTTCTAGTAGGAGTAAGACATTGAAAGGGAGGGGCCGACACAGTGGCATAACAAACTAATCCTCCACCTGCAGTGTCAGCATTCCTGTCAGCATCCTGGTTATTCCACTTCCCATCCTGCTCCCTGCTTGTGGCCTGGGAAAGCAGCAGAGGATGGTCCAAGTCCTTGGGCCTCTGCACCCACATGGGAGACTTTGAAGAAGCTCCAGGCTCCTGGCTTCGGATCAGCTCAGCTTTGGCCATTGTGGCCATTTAGAGAGTGACCCAACGGATGAAAGACCGTCTCTCTATGTAAAAATCTGCCTTTCCAATAAAAATATATTTAAAAACTCCACATAATTCTTTTTTTAAAAAAAAGATTTATTTATCTTTATTGGAAAGGCAAATCAGGTTTATGGAGGGAAGGAGAGACAAAGATCTTCTGTCTGCTAGTTCACTCCCCAGAAAGCTGCAGTGGCAGAGTTGAACCCATCTAAAGCCAGGAACATTTTCTGGGTCTCCCACATGAGTGCAGGGTCCCAAGGCTTGGGCCATCCTCGGCTGCTTTCCTAGGCTACAGTCAGGAGCTGGATGGGAAATGGAGCAGCCGGGACACGGACTGGTGCCCATGTGGGATCCTGGTGCTTGAAAAGTGAGGATTTAGCCATTGAGCTATCATGCCATTCTTGAAAAAGAGAGAGAGAGATCGAAAGGGAACTACTTTCCCTAACGGTCTGGAATGCATTGGCAATGTGACCCTGGAAGTCTCAGGTCTGGATCCTGTGTGTCAGAAATATCCTGAGCTGTTTGGGTTTTTCTCTCTGTGTTTTCACCTTCTGGGAGTCCTGTGATTCGTCATGTCCGATGCGACTAAGGAGTGCCTTTTTCCTCACCAGGAAGCGTTCTGGACCACAGTTTAGAAAGCCTTATCCACCGCCTCCGCGGTTTGTGTGACAACATGGAGCCCGAGACTTTCCTGGACCATGAGATGGTGTTCCTCCTCAAGGGTCAGCAGGCCAGCCCGTTTGTTCTGAGGGCAAGGCGCTCCATGGATAGGGCAGGGACCCCCTGGCACCTGCGTTACCTGGGACAGCCAGAAATGGGAGACAAGAACCGCCATGCCCTGGTGCGAAACTGTGTGGACATTGCCACCTCCGAGAACCTCACCGACTTCCTGATGGAGATGGGCTTCCGCATGGACCATGAATTTGTGGCCAAGGGCCACTTGTTCCGGAAGGGCATCATGAAGATCGTGGTGTACAAGGTCTTCCGCATCCTCGTGCCAGGAAATCCGGACAGTACCGAAGCGTTGTCCCTATCGTACCTGGTGGAGTTAAGTGTCGTTGCGCCAGCTGGGCAGGACATGGTGTCTGATGACATGAGGAACTTTGCTGAACAGCTGAAACCTCTTGTCCACCTGGAGAAAATAGACCCCAAAAGGCTCATGTGACCAAGAGGACCTGTTGGCATTTTGAAAACTAACTACATCTGTTAGAAAAACAGTGGGCGGTGGGATGGCCCGTTTCACTGTGGCAGCCAGGCATTCTTCCTTGCCCTGTTCCTCTAGTGTGATGATTTGACTTCTGGGTTGGCCTTCCTAAGTGAAAGGCTCAGGATAGCGCTGTGAAGCTGCTATATGTTCACTTTTGGAAAGAAAAAGAAAATCTCTTACCGTTTATAGTTGATGTTTGTACGATAATATGAACTGTGTTCTTTGGGAGTAAAGGCTACGAGAAGTGCCTGTAATTCTGTGATTTTAATTCCTTGCTACTTTACCCTGCTAATTTCATTACCAGTTGGAGCCCAAAAAAGGACAATTACCGGTTTTAGTTTCAAAGAGAGATGATAATTTTTATCACAATTGTTGCTGAAAAATTTTTCAAAATAGAAACAAAAATAATACTAGCCAACGCTATGTACTGGTTCTATTTTGGCGTATATCCTTCTGGTTTTTGAGAGCTCCCACATGCGCTGGTTCACTTCTGAAATACCCACCGTGCTTGGGGCTGAAGTCAGGAACTGACGGGGTCACACAGGTGGCAGGAAGCCAGTCACTGCTGTCTCCCAGGGTCTCACTCTCAGGAATCCAATCAAGAGCCAGAGCTGGGAGTCAAAACAGGTACTTCAGGGTGGAATAGATTAGCTTAACCACTAGACCAAATGCCTACTCTGGTTTTATTTGCAACAAGTTTATATACATCATATAACACTAATTTTTTAAATTCCACATATGCTAGTTTGTAGCTTTTTAATTTTTCCATCAAATTGTTATTAGCATCTTCTCAGCAAGTGAGTCCATAGAATATTTAACAAAAGAAAGAAGCTCATTTTTTTTCCTTTAAAAAAAAAAAAAGAGCAGGCCCGGCTCCGTGGCCTAGCAGCTAAAGTCCTTGCCTTAAACGCCCCGCGATCCCATATGGGCGCCCGCTCTAGTCCCAGCAGCTCCACTTCGCATCCGGTTCCTTGCTTGTGGCCTGGGAAAGCAGTTGAAGATGGCCTAAGGCTTTGGGACCCTGCACCCGTGTGGGAGACCTGGAGGGGGTTCCTGGTTCCTAGCTTTGGATCGGCATAGCATCGGCCATTGCGCTCTCTTGGAGAGTGAACCATCGGATGGAAGATCTTCCTCTCTGTCTCTTCTCTCTGTATATCTGACTTTCCAATAAATAAATAAATCTTAAAAAAAAAAAAAAGGAAAATTATATTGAAAGGCCATGGGGCTGGTGCTGTGGCATATGAAACTAATTGTTTACCTGCAGTGCTGACATTCCTTATAGGTGCCTGTTTGAGTACTGGCTGCTCTGCTTCCAATTCACCTTCCTACAGGGAAAGCAATGGAGGACAGCCAATCCTGGGCGCCTGCATCCACGTGGGAGACCCAAAAGAAACTCTGCTTCTCGGCAGGGGAATATGGGGGTGCTCCCCTGATAGACAGCTACTCCCACTGGAGAGCGTGAGCTGATATGAGGGCATACCAGACTAGGCAGGGCTACAACACCTGTGGGACTCATGTGGACTAAATCAGGGAAAAGCCAGGCTGGGCTGATTGTTCCTACTGGTGCAAACTAAAATCAAAGTGGGTGAGGGTTGTTTGGGCTTAGCCACAGCATCAGCTGGCAGAGGCTGGCACTGGGGGCTAATTCTGTCAAGTCAAACCACAGAACCACCTGGAGAGTGCATAATCCGGGAGTGGGAGTGGCCTGGGAGGGAAATAGTGGGCTCCTCCCTCTTGGGTTACCACTCCCACAGGAGAGCACAAAATAACTAGGACAGGGGCTGGGGTGGCTAGACAGAGAGACACCCAACAACATCCGTTAGGGCTAGATAGTGGAGCTGGTTAGATGGAACTAGGCTTCAATGCCCATTGACATGTATGTGAGCCGAGTGAGATGTGGGACAGACTGGACTAGTCAGCTTCACACACTGGCAAACCAGGGTGGAGGCAGGCCTGGTGGGGTTTATTGTGGGTTGCTCTGACTGGGCTGCAGCTCCCACTGGTTTATGTGAGTGCCGAGTGTGTGCTGGGCAGAACCAGACTGGACTGCAACACCCATTGGTTCCATTGGAAGTCGGGGCTGAAAACAGAACCAACCCAGCAGTTGCAACCACCAGCTGATTGGGGCAATGGGCTGTGCCGAGCCCTGTACTTGCTAGTACACACAAGAATCTGGTCTGGGAACACCTCAGACAAAGTTTCTTTGGGGATCCCCCAATCGAACTGCTGGACTCAGATCCCTAACCAAGAAAAAAGACAGGATAGAACAAGTCAATCAACCACCTCAGCCATATGTTGGCAGTCAAAAAGAAGGCAAACGGAGACTCTGTGATGGACTATGTCAATCAATGGATTCTTCCACAACCGCATCGTGCTTGGAGTGGTGAAACTGGCAGCAATTCATAACTGTTAAACTATCAAACCCGCTTGAGCAAGAATCTCGGAGCATGTGCCACATCTGGGAGCTGGGGTGGGTGGGAGGCTGGGTGGGCTTCTCCCTTAAAATCCCCCTTTACTTCAGATATATGAAGGAAACAATGTGGAAATAATACACTTTCCTGTAGCCCTTGAAACTATGTACCCTAATTAACTATGTAAAGATTGCCAAAAATATAATTTAAAAAATGGAAAAAGTTAAAAAAAAAAAAAAAAAGCAAAAGAAACTCTGGCTCCTAGCTTCAAACCAGCCCAGCTCTGACCACTGCAGCCATTTGGGTAGTGAAACCAGCAGATGGAAGATCATTCCTGTCCCTGTTTCTCTATATATACATATACATAAAAGTCTGAATTTCAAGTGAAATAATTATTATTTTTTTTAAATCCAGAGTTATAGAAAATGAGAGAGAAAAAACTTGCATCCACTGCTTCACTCCCTAGATGGTGACAGTGATCAGCTGGCCAGGCCAAAGCACGCAGCTTCCTGCATGGTCTCCATCCCAAGCACGTAGGCCGTCATCCACCAACCCCAGGCCATCAGCACAGAGCTGGATTGCAAGGGGAGAAGATGGGTTGCAAATCGGTGTCCGTAGGGCATGCTGGCATTGCAGGGGCTTTGCCCTGTGTGCCATTAGCACTGACCCCATTTCTTCTTATGTAATGCTGCCCTCCTCAATGCTTCAGGTTTGTGAAAGATCCTCATTTAGTAAACAGCTAAGGTACACAGATATTAGCTTGCCTCCTGCTATGTAGCTGGTATTTACATATTGACTGTTATAATTGTTTTTTTTTAATTTATTTATTTTATTACAAAGCCAGGCATACGAGAAGAGGAAAAAGAGAAAGGAAGATCTTCTGTCCGATGATTTCCTCCCCAAGTGACCGCAACGGCTGATGCTGCGCCAATCCGAAGCCAGGAACTAGGAACATCCTCCAGGTCTCCCACACAGGTGCAGGTCCCAAGGCTTTGGGCCTTCCTTGACTGCTTTCCCAGGCCACAAGCAGGGAGCTGGATAGAAGTGGAGCTTCTGGGATTAGAATTGGCACCCATATGGGATCCCCATGTGTTCAAGGCAAGAACTTTAGCTGCTAGGCCACGGAGGCAGGCCCAAATATTGACTGTTATAAATGTTACCTGTATTCATTGTATTGATTTGCCATACTTATTATAGTTCATTGATTCATTTTGGACTTTCAGTTTGATTTGCTTTTTTAAAGATTTATTTATTTTTTATTGCAAAGTCAGATATATATATAGAGGAGGAGAGACAGAAAAGAAGATTTTCTATCTGATGATTCACTCCCTAAGTGACCGCAACTGCTGGAGCTGAGCCAATCCAAAGCCAAGAGTCAGGAGTTTCATCTGGGTCTCCCGTGCAGATGCAGGGTCCCTAGGCCTTGGACCATTCTCTACTGCTGCCTTCCCAGGCCACAAACAAGAAGCTGGATGGGAAGTGGAGCATCCAGGACATGAACTTTCATTCAGTGAGATTCTGGCACTTACAAGCTGAGGATTCAGCGATTGAGCCATCACTCTTTTTTTAAAAAGATTTATTTATTTATTTTTATTGGAAAAGCAGATATACAGAGAGGAGGAGAGACAGAGAGGAAGATCTTCCATCCACTGATTCACTCCCAAAATGACCACAATGACTGGTGCTGCGCCGATCTGAAGCCAGGAGCCAGAGTTTCCTCCAGGTCTCCCACACAGGTGCAGGGTCCCAAAGCTTTGGGCCGTCCTCGACTGCTTTCCCAAGCTACAAACAGGGAGCTGGATGGGAAGTGGAGCTGCCAGGATTAGAACTGGTGCTCATATGGGATTTCGGCGCATTCAAGGCGAGGACTTTAGCTGCTAGGCTACTGTGCCAGGCCCTGAGCCATCACATTAAAAAATCATCTTTATTTAGGGGCTGGTGTTGTGTTGGGTTAAAACTACCTATGATGCTGGCTTCCCTTATGAGCACTGATTTAAGTGCTGGCTGCCCCACTTCCCAATCCAATTCCCTGCTAATGAGCCTAGGAAAGCAGCTAAAGATGACCCAAGTGTTTTGGCTCCTGCCACTCTGTGGGAAATTTTGATTCCCAGCCTGGCTTCTACCTGACCTAGACCCAGTGTCTGTGACCAGTAAGGGAGTGAACCAATGGATGAAAGAACTGTCTTGTTCCCTCTGTCACTTTGCCTTTCAAATAAGTAAATAAATTGAAATCTTTCTCCCCCATACAAGGTCTTGATACATGTAAGGCAAGGATTTATCCACTAGGCTGTGGTACTTGACTGTATGCAATATTTTTGTTCCTATTAAAAAAAACCCCATAAGTGGGCATTGTGGTACAACGGGCTAAGCTGTTGTCTGCAACACCAACATCCGATATCAGAGCCTTGGTCTGAGTCCCACTGCTCCACTTCCAGTTTTAATTTCTTGCCAATACATTTTGGAAAATAACAGTATATGGGCCCCTGCCACCCATGTAGGAATTGTGAATTGAGTTTTGAGATTCCTGGCTTTGGATTAGCCCAGCAATGATCCTTATGGTCTTCGGGTTTTTCTCTGCTTTTCACATAGAAAAAATTCTTTTAAAAGATTAGTGTTACACCCGGCACTGTAGCCTAACAGCTGGAGTCCCCGTCTTGAACGCACCAGGATCCCATATGGATGCCAGTTCTAATCCCAGCAGCCCCACATCCTATCCAGCTCCCTGCTTGTGGCTTGGGAAAGCAGTCGAAGACAGCCCAAAGTGTTGGGACCCACGTGGGAGACCCTAAAGAGGCTCCGGGCTCCTGGCTTCGAATTGGCTCAGCTCTGGCCGTTGTG